TAACAGAAACCGAACTAGTTCGAAAATGACCAGAGTTGTACCAAGTACAAACGATTTATTCACACCCTGTATTATTTGACTTCGACAGTTTAATACAATAAAGTACACAAAATAATATAACTTTTTTTGGGTATATCGTAAACCGTTTAATTGAGTACGTATTCAATTATACCAGACCTGTTATTTTGTTATTTTTGAACATTTTCAATTATTTTTTATTTTGTTTATTACACGATTAATATGATTATTTGATTAATTTATATTATCAATCAATAAGGCAAACTATGGACAAAAATGAAGAATATTTAATAACTGCTTGAATTACACAGGCCAACAAGGTTTTTTAACCAAGAATCGAACTATACTTTTCCGAAGGTCTTTGACGTGCTGAATTCAAATCTGACCCCAGATCACGTCAGGTTTTCGGGATATTCTAACCTAAAAGTACAAAAATCACGGTTTTTGGGCACATTTGAGCTGCACTACTCCTCCCCTTCAAAATTCATTTTAAAGCTTTAAAAAATCTTTATTTGTTACCGAGAAGTCGTCTGTTGAATTTACTGAGTTTAGTAAATTCGTTGATATTCTGAAAATGAGGAGTATTGGATATTGGAAATTGAAATATCTATGTATTTATTTTTTCTTTTAATTAATACTCAAAAAATTAACAATAATTATTGGCAAATCTAAGGCTGCTAAATAAAAATATGTAAAATAAAAAAGTGTACTTAAATGTTTTTTATTGTATATTCATGAATTCATTTTATTTTTTGACTCCCAAAGTAGTGGTTTTGGTCCGTAATTAGACTAGTATTTTTCTGTCTATTCTGAACTTGTATGAGACTGGTATATTTCTGACCGAAATCTGACAATTTCGTAGGACATCCCCATGTTAAAAATACCAGTTGATTGCATGGAAAAAAGATAGTTGGCTGACTAGTTGGGCATTCGATTCATACTAGTTGTGGGGTAGTTTACAACTAGTTCATTTGACTACAGGGAACTTAATGATCAACACAGTGCGACAATATTTGATTTTTTTGATAATCCACACATAAATTCCAAGGAAATATTAAAATGGAAGTATGATGAAATTATAACTCATTTGACGTTTTCCAGCATGTCAGTTTTTTTTTGGTTGGTTCTTGAAGATTTGAAAGGCTACAAAGTTAAGGCCCGTCCACATACAACTTTGGCGTTGCGTTTGCGTTGGCGTCGCTTCAACAGCTGACTATGAATAAATGAATTCAAATGCAGCCGTCTACGTAGCCAAAATTTGGCAACGCTAACGCCAACACAAAGCATAAAGGTGGCCAACTCTCATCTTTTCGCGAGCGTAGTTCATTAGCTGATGCACATTAATAAAACTATGTGAAATATTTTTCTTTGTTAATCCAGATATATAATTTTTCATTCAATTATTGATATGAAGTATTAATTTATCTGTCGTTAGTATGTAGCAAGCATACTTTTAACGTGCGTCCTGTCAAACGAACGCCAACGCCAAAGCCAGCGCGAAAGTTCTATGTGGACCGGCCTTTACGAAACCATCACAATTTTTAAAGCTTGAGTTACTTATATGTATTTTATTGAAAAAATGAATTTCTTTATTCAAGGATTGAATAATTTTATTGAAATGTTATTTTATGAATAACTTCTAACCCCCTTTCTTATTATATAGTCCGACATACTATTTGTATGTTTCTTTATGTATGTAAAATAAATAAATTCGATATCGATATATCGATATAGTTCATCAATACTATCGGTAAAAAATGATGGTCAGTAATATCGACAATCTCTGTCGCGTGGCTTCAATAGGTATTGCTGCTGCTTGAAAAGCACTGCCACTGAATATGGATCGCTATTGCAAGAGGCAGATAGCAATAGTACAAAAACGAACAAATTTCTATTTATATTCTAACATTAGCAAAAAAGTGAGACGGGGTAGCTAACTGAAATTGCTCCTTAATATGATATTGGCATAGTAAAACATTTAATATTGATACCACATCCATAAATCGGTCTCTCATATCAATAAAGCTAGAACAAAACAATATTGTTCAGGGATCGTCTGAAATTTTATGGAGTAGAAATAAGATTTGTTACCGTGTCTATCCCAAATGGATATCGCACAAAATATCTTAGTAACAATTGACACGTTATCCCAAGCGTTTCTCTCCGTGCCAGTAAAAAAATTATATGTGCAATATGATTTTCCTTATTTTCGCTCTTCGAAAGAAGGATACAATTTTTGCAATATGTTTCGTATGTTAAGTTGATGTTCCCTTATAATTTTAACTACCCTTATCACAAACAATAGGGGTATTCTCCAAATCTTGCAAAGCCATTGCACGTAGCACGGATTGCATGGATTGCATAACTTGCAAACACAACAAAATACATGGGAAACAACATTTCCGTTCGCCGCAAAATATGCCTCGTCGAAACCCATGTATATATTTTGCAAAATAGCATAGCAAGATAAATGCGACCCTGCGCTAGTTGACTTGTTGTTGGAATTGCTACATATTTCTCTCATTCCTCTCATCTAGCTCACTTCATTTTTTTTTGCTGTCTCTTGGTATTGTATTTGATACAAAATTTCGCTGCTTGCTACCCATGCATGCTACCACTTTTCAATGGGGTGCTCTCGTACTTTTCGAAATTTGGAATAGTATTTTTGCATTTCGTGCAATTCGTGCATCGTGCAAGACTTCGAGAATACCCCTAATATTTAATATTCAATAGTAAATAATTATATGTGCAAAATGAATTATTTAGCTCCCGCCTGTTCGTGTCAAAAAATTTTCAATAGAAAACTACAACAATGACATTGTATTCCCTAGTTATATTATGGCCCATAATATCCCGTGGCATTGCACTATCTGAAGAGGAGCCCGGAAATATAACAGGAGTGACGTTTTGTGGCATGAAAGGCAGCTAAATAATTGCTGAAGTAATCGAACAGCAGAATTTAAGAAGTTCCTTTAAAATCCCGAAGATTATGGAAATAATAAGCTTGGTGGCCCTACACAAAACCCAAACGAGTGGTGCAAATGATATATCTAAAAGTTAGCTAGTAGGAACAGCATGACTTACCACAAAATTTTAAATGTTTTTGAATCTCTCTGCCACAAGTAAAAGTTCACAATAATTAATAAACACAGTTTTGGCACTTAAGGTGAAGAAATAAATCGCTCTGGTTTAGCCCACTCTATCGCACGCAATGCGTTTTTAGCATTTTATAAAAATTACAAATTTTTTAGGAAGAATGGAAAAACGCTATTTTCAGTGATGAACAAAACTTCAATATAGTTGATCCAGGTGCCCACCATCAATATTCGAGAGTCATTCGGCTTCCATGGCAAACTTGCCCTGGGAAAGAATCTCTCATTTCAAGTAAAAAGCGTATAGCTTTGGAAAACAAATAAAAACTTTTCACTTTGAGACAAATTAATATCCAGAAGTAGAAACATTCCTTGCGAATTAAGTTTGCAAATTTTTTGCTCATTTCGACCGAAGATAATTAAAAATTGCAGCGGTAAAACAACAAACTCGTTATTGAAGGAATAAAATACCTTCGTTTAGAATATCTAACTTCAAATATGGGCTTTAATACCACTGGAGATTTGTAAGATCTACTTCTTTATGTTTACTTATTCAAAACAGAATGATAACGTGTTGAAACTTAAATAAATCAAACTTCGGAAATAGGAGGAAATAATATAAATTTTACCAGAAAATTTGGGTAAAATCTATGCCGTAAAGCGTAAAACAAATAACATTGTTCAATAGAAATACAATCTAAAACCAACAAATAAAATTATCTTGAAAACTTTTTTTTTTAAATAATCGATAACCTAAAACTTGTTTCTTTGCACATATAAATATTTTCTATGAAAATTTCAACATAATGGTACAATTAAATTATCTTGTTGTAAACTAATGCGTATTTATACAGTTTTTTATATTCTTTTGATAGAGTTAATGAATACAATCACTGGGAAAGACATTAAATTAGTTGAAGTTGAAATATTGCACATATAATTATTTTACTGGGGTATGTATGTATGTATGCAGATATATAAATGGTAAATCAGTACAAATTGTTAGTAATTTTCATTAGAGTTTGAGTAAGTCCTTTCACTATTTGGTTTTTAGTAACTTTAAAGAAAGCTTAACTTATTTTATTTTATTCATTTTAGTGCAGTTTTTACGAAATTTTCTTGCTAAAAAATCTTTTGTTACACTACTTTATTTTATTCCTTTGAATGTACATGTTAAACAAAAGCTTGTTTTTAAAAAATATTTTTTTTTACATTATTTTTTTTTCTATTCCAAATAGCAACTGTGGCACCTTACTGAAATTTCTATTAAATGAGAAATTTTTTTAGTGTAATGTGCAGACGTAGCTCAGTACATTCTTTTCACAGATGGTCAAATTTGGGGAAGAAAATATCAAAAAGTTAAAAATATCAAATTAGTCTTAGTTTTATTATGGTTCCTTTATATCTCTTAACTACATTGTATTTGAATATAGTGAAGCAACTATCAGGAAGTATTTTACAGAAAAAAATTACTAAATATAGCCTCGTTTGTACATGCAGTTAAAAATACATGAAAAGGACCGATTTTTTTGAATTCAAAAAAATATTAATATTCCAAAAACGGTGACACTTTTATAAGAAGAATGTTTGCTTATCAGGGAACTCACTCCCACCTACGTTGTAGTCAAGTTTGCCGTAGTACTTCTTGGACACCCTGTATGTACATATATACAAACATCTATGTAATTATTTATCATTTTAAAATGTTTGTGAAATAAATATATACATGCATAAATATTTGGCAATGTAGAGACCAAATAATTTGCAGGGTGCAAACGGGTGTATGTTTTCAGAGTATTCTGAATAGTAGAGAAATCTTAAAGAAGTCGTAAGGATCTCATTATTTCCCTTTCCGACTTTTTGCAGCAATTTTTAAAATGAAATATACTGTGCACACTTCGATGCTTTTACGAAATTTCGGAAGAAAACGGGTAAAGCATTGACAATAGTGCTGAGATGTGAAGATTTTTTTTTTTTAATTTTCTATAAGAAATAGTACAAAGATTTCTTTACGAATTCGTGGCAACCATTCCATACGATTATCTTTGAAAATTCGTAAAAAAGCGATACAGAATTCGGATACTCTTAACGATTTCGTTATAATTCGAGAAGTTTGGTTCGCAGGGAAATCAAAACAGCTCATCTGCTGCTACTATAATATAAAATCTTTTTTGGGAATTGTACGACAAAAATTGATCAAAAACTATGACATGCACTGATGTGTTACTATTGTTCTCACACTACATAAGTACTAACATGTAGTTTAATTTAATCCCAATGGTTCTTTTTTGGTAAGAATAACGATAACTAAATTGACAATACATAAGTACTTATCGGATCAAAAAATTCAAGCAAACTATAAATGTTTACATATAGCATACCTAGACAATATAACTGCTTGTGGATCCTACAGATTCAACGCAATTAATGCAAAAACAGAAGTTTTTTAGTTATTGTACATAGTCATGAAAAAAAAAATTTGAATTAATTGGAGGTAAGTCATATGGATTGAACTGTGCAAAAAATTGTTTTTTTTTTAGTTGATCGCACTTTAGATCTAGGTGTGCAGTATGTAAACAGTTCCAATTGAAGTAGGTAAACATTAGTGCCAAGGTGAACTTAAAGAATGTAAAAGTTAATATTTTTTATAACCTTTAATATACGAGTCCAAACAAGATACAATTTTTAGTATGAAATATATCTATATAAATCTAAATAAATTTCGTAATAAATTTCATAATGTGTATGTCTCTAAAGTGGTAGGGTATAAAAATTTCTGCTATATACTGTAAATACGTATACACACGAATGTATGTGTAGACTTGATTATACAAGTACATGTGTAAGGTTCATATGTAAATTGTGTCATTACTTCCAAATAAACTTATTTATCTTCGGGGTTTGCCAAAGCCACCTAAACTCATGTCATTTCCATATATGGCAGCGGTCCCTCCATTTCCATAAATTGTTTGCGGCGGCTGAATACCAGCTCCCCCGCCATTGTTTGAGAGCATGTGTTTTCGCTCCATTTCTTTTTCGTGGCCATCATGTAGGTCCAAACCGGCGATCATTTGAGCGATTTCTCGTTCTTTCTTCACATCAGGTGGGTTAAATTGTAGACTAGCTAATGAGCCATGACTTCGGCTTCGGTGTTCCTGCCGTATGGAGTAACTAAAAGCTCTTTCATTTAAATGACCTTTCCGACGGTAGATTCCTGTGCCACCCGGTGATTCTGGGCCGGAATTTAAAGCCTCGTCCAGTCCATTGCCCATGGATACCGTTATCTTGCGATTCGACATTGCTAGGGGTCGTGGTTCACCAATTAGGGGTTGCGCAATAGCTGTTTGTGGTGGCGGAGGTGCTCCCATGGCCTGATGAAACGCGTATATAGGTGGCACAATGGGCAATCCAACGGGTATACCACTACCTGTCTTATCTTTCTTATTTTTCTTTGCAGTTCGCGTAGATTGAAGAGTGGCATATTGCTGTGGCATAATCACGGGTATTTGCATTGGAATACCCATATGTGGTGGGTGCATCCTTTGTGGTGGCGGTGGTATGCCAGCGTGATGAAAGTGTGAACCACTATAAAATCCTCGATGACTAATTGTGTGATAGTTTCGGGAGCCTTGCGGCGATGGTAATGTTCCTGACCCAACGCCGGGGCCATAAATCGCATTTCCCTGGACGCCTGCATAAATTCTCGTGCGTTGTAATGTAGCCGGATGTATGGGCTTAGGTCGTATAAGTGTGCCGGAGAGACTTTGACTGCCTATTGTTTTCAACACTTGTTTATCTTTACGTCTTTTACTTGCTTCCTCTCTCATTGGTGGAGGAGGAACATCGATGGGTGTACTTATTTGACGAGCTCTAGCAGGGCGACCCAAAGTAGATGTGTTACCAGAAAACATTTCATACGGACTTTCCATTGCAATAGAATCAAGTTGATCTTGCGAACCATTCCAGACCTTGTGGTTCTCATCTCCATTGTATACAGAAGTTTCACCATCATCGACCATTACGTTTAAATCTGCACTGCTTCCGTAAACTATAATAAATATGAAGAAAAAGTACTCATTAAAAATGAAGGTTATGTAAACATTCATATATGTATGTTATTATGTGTGAATATGAATATTAGGGTGGTACGAAAATACATAGGAAAACCAACTTTTCTATTTTTCCTGCTGCCACTCCCAGAACTGAAGAATATCAAAAATAAACACACGTATTTTTTTATACCCGAGCGCACTTGTGCACAAGGGTATTATAACTTTGTTCACATAACGGTTGTTTGTAACAGGCAAAACGAATCGAGATAGATATAGACAAATGTATACATAAATGATCAGAATGAAAAGAGAAAT